GGGAGGGGGAGGGGGAGGGTTGCATTCCCAGAGACTCCAGGCTAGCACCCCTGACCTGCCTACCCCAGTGGAAGAGGAAACGCCAACCTAGAGAAAGCAGGAAGCTGGGAGGGGAGGGGTGGGCACTGCAGGCAGGCAGTGAGGGGGCCTGGTGGCCTGTGCTGCCGGGTCCCTCTTGGGACTCAGGGAAGGAGGGGTGAGGGAGGAGAGCAGGGAAGCAGCCAGGGCCCGGTCCACCTGCACAGGAGGGGCTGGGGTGCAGGTGTGAGCAGGAGGCTCAGAGAGCCCAGCTCTCCACCCGACTGAGGACAGCTTTGTCCAGGAGAGTGGGAGAGGGCTGCCGCTGGGGCACCAGGCCGCCCCCATCCTGGAGACACCAGCCCAGGGGAGTCCTGCTGCCCTTGTCCTGGGGACCTACCATCCTGGCACCAGCCGAGCCCCAAGGAGGAGGCCGAGACGGCTGGCCCTGGGCTTCTTTTAGAAGTGGGGGCTTCCCTCAGACCCTCCCACCCCAGCCCCCAGCCGTGGGAGTGGGTCATGCTGAGGGCTCGGCTTAGAAACCGTCAGGAGACCAGGGCCACTAACAGCAGACGCCCGCCTTCCGGGCCCACCCAGCACCCCAGAACCACACTGGCAGGCGGAGGACCATGCACGTGCCCACACCCAGCACATGCTCACACCCATGCACACGTGGACACATCTGTGCCCATGTGCTTGCACACCTGCGCATACACACTCACACCCATGCACATGCCCACACACACCTGTTCATGTACCCACGCACGCCTGTGCACACACAGCTGTGCACGCACTCTCACATGTGAGTTCACACACCCTTACGCGCACCCCCACACACCCAGGGCTCCCCGTACACACTCGCGGGCACAGGTGGGGTCTCCGTGCGCGCCAGCCCCCCTCTCGGGAGGCGGCGATGGAGACGGAGCCTCCGGCCCCAGACACGGGCTTGGGGGCGGGAGGTCAGGCCCGCCGGCCCGGGACGCACCGTGAGGCGGCGCGCGGCGTCCACCTCGATCATGCCGCGCAGCAGGCTCTGGCAGTCGGGCGGGATGAAGTGCGGCATGTGGAACACGCCCCGCTTCACCTTCTCCAGCAGCTGCCGCAGGTTGTCGTCGTCGAAGGGCAGCGCCCCCTGCCGGCCGGGACGGGGTCACCACGGGGCGGAAGGCCGGCCGGAGGGAAGGACGGAGGGGGCGGGGAC